AAGAAACATAATATTTTATTTTTAGTATTGTAATAAACTGAAAATTAAACAGGCCATCTAGAAAACCGATAACATGTTTAAATCCGTGTTATAAGTTGTTAAAGAGCATCTGGTTCAAGCTCCAGCCTGAACGATCGATTTTCAGTTACTATCGTCCAACCCTGTTAGGAATCACACGTTAAAAGGTAAGACCTCGTTAGTCCTTAGTTCGCACAAGTTTCAACTTCTGCAGGTTGTCGTTTGTAGAGGTGCGACAGCTGGTTAACGAAAAAACAGAGTTTAAACAGAACAGACAGATCTCTTACACACGAATACTCACACGCAGTTGACCGAGTGTTCGAACGGATATATGAGCAGAAAGGGTCGGAGAGAGGAGTCGTTGGATGTAGAAAGAGCCTGCTCATCAATAAATGTTTAACGCAGGACTCGATACAATGCGGGAGGACGAATTAGCGGGGCAGAAGACCCATTTCTTTATTTATAAAATCCCAATATTACAATAATCATACAATTACATATTCACATATAATATCTATCTATCTTTTCTTTTATTCCATCACCCAACTTGCCAGGTTTGTGTCGCCTTCACTGTCTACGTAGCCTGACTAAGTTCTCATGCTTTATTTCAATTCCTGACTCCGCTGTAAGTCGCAGCTGTCTCCTTTCATTCTATCATTCGTTACTAACCACATTCTCCGCCCATTCATTAACGAATCTTATCCAATCATCCCTTTTTCCATTCTTCTCCCTCAGTGTTATCTCCCCTTTTTTCCCTTTTTATTCGTTCCTTCCTTTCGCGCCATCCAGTCCTGTCCCCGTCCATGCATCTCTCTATCACGTGATCTGCCGTTTCTGGTTCTCCGTATCCACAGGGAGTCGGCACTTCCGGTTCCAGGTTGAACCTAGCCAGGTATCCTGGGAAGTTACCGTGCCCTGTTAGCAATTGCACGTCCTTCCTTGACAGATCCAACGGTTCATATTCAACTGTTTTACAAAACTTGTAAAACAGTCGCCCAGTCGTACCGCTCTCCCTTTGCCAGTAGCCCTTGATGCATTCCTTTATTCTCTTTCGCTCTTCATTCTTACTACCTATCCTCCTCACCTTCCACGTCACGCTCTCTCTGTCCAACCCCATTGTGGTTTCCTCGTGGACCTTCCGATTACCCAGGTTGTTTACTGAGTGACCTTTTCGCCATATGATACCGGTCCGTGCTTCCCTTCCACTCCTTTCCTCATTCTTTCTCTGAATCATTGCCACCCTCTTATTCTTTGTTCTCCCCATTTTCATCCCTTCCACAGCCCCTGCGGAGTCACTGACTATCATGACGCTCTCTTCCGTACTCCACATATCCATCACCTTCTCGATCGCAATCATCTCCGCCTCATTCATAGTGCTCTGTTCGTTGACTCTTTCATTCCCTGTTACCCTTTCACCTCCCTCTCTCTCCCATGCCCAGCCTATTCCTACACTTCCTTTGTCTAACCTTATCCCGGCGTCCACATGCACCTCGGTCATTCTTTCTACCTCCGCTTCTACTTGCATCCATGGGGCTACCCTATCACCTCCTTTCACTCTATCTTCAGTCTTTCTTGTACCATTCATACTCCATTTCCAGTATCTTGCCCTCGCTTCCACGTGTAGTGGGAAATCACGAAGAGCGCAGCCGTTGACGTTGTCCTGTACGCCCCGCTTGAAGCGATCAGGAAGGGCCTCTGCACTACGCTCAGCTGCCTTTTTACTCTACTGTCATGCACTCTGTATCCCATAGTACCTTTCATAGATGATTCGCACGCATTCTCTCCTGAGCCCAACATTCTTTCCGGTCCACCTCCTTAGTTTTCCCGCCAATTCACTCATCTTCTTTCTCACCTCTTTGTGGTAGTCAACCCAGTGTCCACCACAACCTCGAGGTATCTTACATTCATTCTTATCTCTAGCTCTCTCTCATTTGTCCTGATGACTGGAAGTCTTTCATCCCTTCTCGCTGGTATGTACATGCATTCTGTCTTTCTTTCGTTGTACCCCAGCCACATATCAGCTTCCATCTTTCCTCTATGCTTCCAACGGAGCTCCCCGACTGTAAAGGCCGATTCTTCTTCTCCTCACTCCCCCTGCTTTCTCTCTCTCTTATTCGCCGCCTGCCCGGAGTATCGTCATCATCCAGCATCCTGCTGGTTTCTTCCTTCCCCTCGGTGAAGGTTCCATCCTCTCTTTCGACATTCGATGGCATTTTCCTGGCTCTATCATCTTTAAGAAATCGATAGGCTCGGTCCCATTATTTTATACCTATTTCTCTCTCTTTTGTAATCATTCATTCGTCTCAAACTTTCTCCTTCATTCCTAGTACTCTGTACTTCTCTCCTCCTTCCTAGGAGCTAGAAAGTACACGAAGGTGCTAGAAAGCACCTTCATATGCTTTCTAGCTCCGGCTCTCTTGCAATTAACGCAGCCTAGCCCCTGATCACCCCTACATTCATGACCCTCATGCTGCCCTCCGCATTTGTGGCACGCCGGTTCTTGTCTGCACGCCTTTGCTGTGTGTCCAAATCGGCAACATTGGTAACACACTACAACACTATTATGTTCTTCAATATAAATAGTCATTAGGTCTATGCTAACTACCTCCATTCGCATCAGTCTACGGAAGAGCTTCGGATTCACTTCAACGATCACGTTCTCTTTCCATTTGTTCCATCTGCATTCTCTCCTCTTTTTCACCTTTACTTGCTCCACTTCCTCCTATGTGAGACCTTCATTCAATTCGGGGTTATGCTTCAACAGGAGGGGGATCAATTCCACATCCCCATATCCCTTCTCCACACCTGTGAGCAGAACATGGGGATTTGGCTTTTGATCCGACTTTACACTCACCCTACTATCTTCTTGAAGCACGTTCTTTATTTCCTTTCTGGCCTCCTCTGTCCTTCCTTTGACCACAACTGCCTCACTCAGGTTTCTGGTCACTGCGTCCACGTAATTCATACTTCCTTTTTTTATGAGTTGCTCTCTTACTATTCTCGCAGCTGGTGTTACATCCTCCTGATCGTTCTTCACTATTACAATTTCTTCCTCTAATGGAGGTGGTGTTTTCCACCCTTCCCTTGGCTGCTTGGGCCTACCAATCTCCGTAGGATATGTCATCTTACCCTTCTAACCCCTTCACCTGTTCCTGCGCCTATTCTGGACCTCCTGGAATCCATGCTCGGTTTTGCCATCCGTCTCCATAATTGTTGTTGTCAGCCCGCCTGATCCTTCTATTGACGTTGCCGTATTTTTCCTTCCTACCGAGGTTTGTTCGCTTCTATCCCTATCTTGGCGGGGTTTGACAAACCCTTCTTTTGAATATCTTCCTATCTCTTCTACTATTTTTTTCATCCCTTTCCATTCACTGCATATTCCATTGAACCATCCTTCTAGTCTCGCAGCTAGCGCCGTTATGACTTCCCTTTCATTCTCCTGCTGTTTCAGTCTTTCTCCAATTCTCTCACTCTCTCTCCTAGCATACTGTTACAGCACTGTTATAGCACCTATAGCATCGCTATCTGCTGTAAACCACCACTTACAGCGTTCTGCTCTTCCTTGTTAAGGATGAATACCTAGTCGTGGCTTTTTGGATTGTCCCCACCATCTCTCCAATCCTGGAAGTTAGGCGATAGGACTCCTCCTTATGGCCCCTAACTTGTTTATCCTGCCCTGGTTTCCCTATCTCTATGAATATTTCTTCAGCTGCTTCCCTTTCCTCTTTCTCACGTAGGCTCCGGTTTAGCTCATCTCGAAGTTGATCAATTTTTTCTTCAGATCTATTTAAGATCTCATTCGCGGTTTCCTGCATTGTGTGCCTCGCCTTTTGGATCATGGTGTCAATCACCCTCCGCTTCTTAAGCACTTTTCCAGACGTACTTTCATCACCTCCTATCAAGAGAGGTGGCGTTCTCGGAGTTCCAATCCTCGGTTGGAAAATTTCCCTTTCTTCATACTCTCCATCCACATCAAATGGTTTTCGCTTCTTTCTATTATCCATGTTTTCTAATATTTGGCGAATGCCACCTTTCTAATTTTTGGCGAATGCCATCTTATCGCCTTTCGCCCGATAAGAAATGTAAAAACATCCGCCGATTAATCTTATCGTGTTTCGGCTTAAAAACACGATAAGATAAACTTTTCTTTCCTCGATGTTGATAGCAAAGATTCCAATATTCACGTATAGCACTGTTTTATATATACTTTTTGATGTGTCTATTTCACAAATAATTATTTTACGATTATTTCTAACCGTCACTTTTATAATGTTTTATCACACCACTAATTCAATTCCATTATCGTTGAATATTAAACACATTTATTCAACAACTCTCTCTGTTCCGAAAACACGTCCGCTCGCTACGAAGTCTCGAGGGACAGTCCAAGGAAAGGGTACCTAAACCAGATATTTAGGGGCAAAGGATAGGACGAAATTGTGAAGATTATTGGCCACCAAGAATACCGGACTTATCTTCAATTGATTTTTATCGGGTTATCTGAAACTCAAAGTGTATGAGCACAGACCAGAATGTTGTGCTAACATAAATTCCCTATTTATTAAAAATGCCACAAAGTGAATAAAAGGACTATAATTTGTATAGAAGGGGAAGGACGACATATTGAATGATGAATTCGAGTTCTTTTTGAGATAATTGGGATGAATGTTATTAATTGTGAATTTGGTTATAGTTATTTTGCTTTAATTTTTTTACACTTCTAAAATTTCGACTTTGGTCTCCAAAATTAGAGTTTGAAGTCGTAGTTTCAAGATTTAAGTCGAAATTTCAAGGTTGAAGTCGAAACTTGGAGTTCAAAGTCGTAATTTCGAGGTTGAATTCGAAATTTCGAATTTTAAAGTCGTGATTTCAGAGCAAAAATCCCTTCTGCACTTCCGTAGTGCAGTGGGGAGTTCAAATTTGGAAAAAAGGTGTAAATTGGAAACTAAGAAACTTTTTTCGGTATTTTTCGAAATAAAAAAGTTTTTTTAGAGATTTTCGAAAAAAGTTCAAATTTGGCAGGTTTAGAGTAGCACATGGCAAAATGAAAAAAAGTTTTTTCTCTCTATCCCAAAAGAAAACTTCCTTTTGTTGCGGACTTTATTTATTCCATAATTCATATTGAGTTGGTGAAAAAGTAATTTTCCGTGTTTTTCAATCATTTCTTTGAAATATTTGTTTGTGTCTCTGAAATAAGTTAAATTCAAAGTCGGATAATATCAAAAATTCACATACCGGCATGTGTGTAGGTACTAGAATTAATTTAATAAAATATACTTACATTATAATCTTCCGAGAAGTAATTCTTAACGATAATTGGTTTTGGCACGAACGGGGGCCTAGGGGTGGGTCCCTCATATCGAACTACATCTCTAGGTTGTAAATCATCGCTAGCATGAGAACTTGTAAAAACGCTTCTACTTCTAGGACGAGGTGCATCCTTTCGTCCGTTTTCATACACTTTAGGAAGCCTTGTTACGCTATCTGAAAAGGTCACTTGAGAGGATATAAAATTTGTTTGTTACAAAAGCAAAAGGAAATTGTCGATTACATGAAATATTTTTCTGAAAGATCACGATTTCTTGTTGATTTAACTTTTGCTAATTAGTATCAAAAATATTTTCAGGAATTATTCATGAACCAATATGTATGTCCTATGAATACATTATTTTAGAAAACATGAAATTTCAAGCCCCTAAAAATCAGAAAAGTTTTCCAAAAATAATTCTGATACCGAAGACAAATTTGCCCATAAATGTAAAGAATAATAGATTTACTTTAGCAAATAATATTTGGACAATATTTTTATCTGGTCATCCCTAGACCGTTGACGTTATCGCAGAAAGCAGTTTATGTCATTATTTTTTAATGAAGCTCTTAGTGAATCAATTTTGGACACCAACCTAAAAGAAAATGTTGCTCTTTGAATTTGAAAGTGTTAAGTTTGGATACTTTTTGATTTAAAAAATCAGAATAGCCACCAATTACTTCTGAAGTTTTGAAATATTTCATTCCTACTTGTGCAAGTTGACATGTTCGTCAATAGCCCAAATACTAAGCAAACAGAAAAATTGCCTCAATGTAGAAAACCGTTTAATTTTGGATGTAGCAAATACGGATCTGAGGGATATAAAATCTAGAAAGGTTAATGCAGTCAAGCTGCTGGAAAATAATTCCATGAAAATCAAAAAATAAATAGATAAGTACTCTTTGATCATTCCCATATTGATTTCAATTTAAGAGCCACCGGTATACAGCTGTTTCAGCCTATTGATTTCAAAGTCCTTCAATTATCATTTTACTAATAAGATTTTTTAACATTAATTTCAACTGACGCTTTGCAACCCTTCCCAGAACCCTTGTAGAGACTTTGTTTCCAACCCCAGGAGGATCGACAGTGTAAGGTTAATAATAAATGATTGTTTCATTTTTCATCACGGATCTGATAATTCCTTGAATGGAAGAAATACTCATCCCTTCATGTACCATAGCTGTTTTTCTGAGAATACACTGACACTTCGTTATTTGATTGAATTGAGCTTCAACAGAAGATATATTGATATCCCAATCTTCTCTTACTTGCCAATAAGGTCTTTCATATTGCAAAGAACTACTCCATTTTCTCACCGATGTTCAATGAACTCTATGACTTTTCACCTCTGGGTCAATCATTAAAAAATGCACTATAGATCAATTGAAAGATATGAACAAATATGAAAAATATATCCACTTACATAGATTTTTTTCAAGAACACAAGCACCACAGGAAAATCCTTAAGGCCTTCTAAGAGCGGTGCCTGTGCGAAAATAGTGATTCACATTGAATTTGAATCGCTGGACATTCCAAATTCATTTGGAAAAACGTCCGCAGGAAGTTTATTCCACATGAACGCAATTCTCCAAATGAAATAGTTCTTGAACAGCGAAGTTCGAGGTGTTCTCAGTGAACCTCAAAACGATGAGCAGCCACAGTCCGTCGCGTATTCCTGATATACATCGTTCTTGGTGGAATCGAATGTGCCAAGTCACTTGAATACTTCCCGTGGAAGTATCTATAAAAGAGAGGCAAATCTCCAACCTTTCTTCGATGTTCCAGACTAAGGTTGCAAGTGATGTTCGTGTCTCTAATCAGGCAAATGGCTTTTTTCTGGATGGAATCCAACAGCTTCAGGGTATGCTTAAGGGCGGAGCTCAATACATGAGAGCAATATTCCGAAGAAGGTCCGGTCTGAGTTGGTTCGGAACAGTGTTCCAAGCTTTTGAGAAGCAGCCTTTACAATTCCAGCGACATGATTGTGCCAAGACAGGTTGGTGTCCCTTTTAACCCCCAATAAACTTTTCAAAGCAGAAAACGAAATTGTCTGTTCTGTCATTATTATATATCCGGTACGGAGACATTTATCTTTATGGAGAAAACCGATGCCTGGGTTTTTGTGGCATTGAATTGAACCTGGTTATATTCACCCCAATTCGAAATCAGTTTTAGATCCTAATTAAGATATGCAACCTCCTGCTACCGGTGAGGATGTGCATCCACACCCGATGTCCTGGAATCCAAATGGAATTACGAGGTAACTGTCGTGCTGTCGTCAGCAACACCAGCGTTGATGGTTAAAGTTTTCGAGATATATCCTTCGACGGCCACTTGCAGGGAACGTTCTTTCAGGAAGCTGGAGAGCCATACACAAAAAAGATCTTACAAGCCATAGCGTCCTCACGCCACACACGGCCAAATGCCTTAGAAATATCAAGCGCAACATATCTTGACTCTCTATATTTATCGATTGCGTAATCCAAATATGGGTGACATACGGTAGAAGGTCGCTTTTTGATCTTTGTTTCCGAAAGCCATATTGAAGATAGATCAAGATCATAAAGCCTTCCAAATATTTAGGGATATGGTATTTTACGGATTTCTCCATGATTTTTGATATCACTGACAGCAAAGCGACTGGCCTATAGTTATTTGGAAGATTTTTCTTGCCCTTTTTGAGAATAGGCTGAACGCGAGCAATCTTTCAATAAGAAGGAAAATCCCCTTCCTTGTAAGACAGGTTGAAAAATCTGCAAAATACTGATGCGAGTTCATTTGCGCACTTTCTAAGTACGATGACGAGCAATTCATTAGGACCAGACGCCTTGTTGATATAGAGCTGTTTCAAAATTCACCTGACTAGACGTTGTCGAAAAGTAATTTTCCGCATTGTGGATGTATGGGAATAGTGGGTGGTGCCTTTCCCAGAAAATCGACTGTGCATCCAGTAGATAGGTGAACATCAGTATAATTTTCCTAAACACCCATTTATATTTTTCTCAAACTCCTGTTGTTTTCATTCATTCTCATTTAGACTTGAAATACCCATTTTATTGTCAACTAAGAACCTACTGAATGAAATCATTCCCAGCTTCCCACAACTGCAGGGCTGCACGTAAAATTGCAAATACAATTTTTCAACGTTGAATTTATATATTTTTTTAGAAAATTTGAAGGATAAATGAGGTGAATAGCTTATTTCATTGTTACTTTGACATTGTGACTTTAACATAGTTTCTAACAGAGATATGGTATAGTAGGTAATTAATTTTATCGTACTATGAACAGTTCTGGAGATATTCAAATTCTTTTTTCGAATTTTTGACTTTGAATCCAACAGAATATGTACTTTCACAGACCAGAACGCCAACTTTGTTGCTAAAACGGACGTCGAGAAGAGTGTTGAAGTTCTGGTGTGCGAGAGCCGTATTTATGTTGGATGAAATTTACTTCAGAGGTTCTATTTAGCAACTTCGACTTCGAATTGCGAAATATGCTTTGCTTGAATAATATCGTTTCTTTAAAAGAATATTCTCCATAATAATAATCAGTCCTGTAACAAATTCAGTCAAATGCAAACGACAGATTGACCTCTTTGGTTTTTAACAGTCATATAGGTTAATCTATTAACCTCTCTGTTGCTTTAGGTATGCCGTATTTTGGAATTTGGACTTGTAGTTATGACTACACATGATTTGTATAAGTTCAGACAAGTTAGTTTATTCAGTGATATTTTAAACTCATTTTTAGTCAACCAATGGTAAATCAAAAATCCTTCAAATGCTGAATGCGCATTAGACATCACGGAATAAACTTGTGTTTAATTATGCTATTGAAATCTACTACTGTTTGGGATTATTACTACAGAATATGATGTTACTAATTTTACTTATTGTTTCCAAGTCCTAACCTTACACCTCTCATAGTGAACATGTCAATTAGATGACACAGTATTTTTTATAAAGGTAAATTTGAAATTAATCGTTGAGAAAAGAATTTTCTTTGCTCTCATATTGAAATAAATTCCGAAATATTAGGTTCTTTTACTCACATCACAATTTTTTTATATATTCTGGAGAAGATCCGCTGTCAGCCAATATATCTTGGAGATATATCAAACAGTTATTTTGGCCATCGTAGGTACTATTTATTTTCGAGACACATCATCTGTTTACCTCAAAATATCTTGGGAACACAAAAATTTCATAATATATTTTCAGTGTCTTATCTTTTAATCAGATGAGAAAACGTCACTTTGACTGAGTATTGTCAAAATGAAAATATATTGACTTTTATATGTGAGGTAGAAATATTTCTCTCAAAATATGAATTATACTGGTACTTACCTTTACGGCGAAACACTTTTTCACGAGTCTTGTCCATTTAAAATGATTTTTAAAGAAAAAATACTAAAATTGAGTTTCTGTTTACAGTAAACAAATTCATACACATATTCAAACACAGCCATCTGAGATGACTGAATATTAGGTAATTATAATTTTGCTAAAGCCCAGTTGAAAAAATCAAATATTCTCAAATATATTTTTGACTACTGAAATCTTTCAACAACTTCATTATGTATTAATATAAAAAGTATTATTGGAATAAAACTTAAAATAATAGAGTTTGGACGCCTATCAAATGACATCCCAAAAAGGCAATTGAGGTTATCTATTATTCAAATATCAAATCCGTCAATTATGAAGTTTATTTGAATTTTGAATACCATCTTGTTATACTTATTCAAATATAATCATAATGCTGTATGTCTTTAACAATACATTTCAGTTAGTAAGCTCTTAAAATAGTTATTTCTACTTAAGGAAAGTTAACTTATGAATTTACTTTTGAAATTGATCTTCATATAATAACATTGAAGTCTTTATTAACTTTTTCAAGGACTTTTGTAAGCTTCCATAATAAAAAAAATAAACATTTGTAATGGACAACTTTATGCAGATGTAAAAACATGAGATAACTTTTAGTAATACCTGTATTACTATTTTTTTTTCAGATTAGTGAAGGTCACTTACTAGGTACACGTACTGGGACGACTGTGGATTCGAAATTTTAATTCAAATCAGTTACATGTGATGAACAAATTGTCAAAGCTGCCCATTGAATAAAGTAGCAATCTCAAATCGAAACTAGTAAGTCATAAGAAAATACTGATTTTTGTTAGGCACAAGTTTATAATGAACTTTGAAATTTAAGATTTACGGATGTCTTTTCTTCAATAAGAATTTCAGAAATACTTGAGACAGTAATATTCGTTTTGAAAAACACAAGATCAGATGTTTTTTTTCAAGTTTTAACAGTGTTAGATGTTAATAGTGGACTATGCAATTCACGCATTTAAATTCAAAAACCCACTATTCAGATGGTGAATTTTTTATTATATATTCGTTACAGAATATAACATTTTTGTTTTGAAATTTTTTGATTCTAGTTTTTCCAATCTAATTCAACATACAGATTGAAAAAAACTTTCAAATAGCATAACGTCTCAAGTGTGGTAGGTACACCTTCAAACAAAAATTGCTTTATAAAACACCAGAACTACAAGAAACTTTTATTAACAAATGCAACCAAGTTGGAGATAGCGATACATCTCTAAATGTTTTTTAAAGTCCCACTGTGTAGATGAGGTAATTTTGGTTAAATTCGTTCCACATCAAAACTCCACTGCTATTGACTATTTGAAAATTGGGCCAAGCAGAAGAAATGCTTCTATCTCAATTTGTCTGTGTAACATTCACAAATCGAATTGAAACTGATATCAATCCCTAAATACTTAATATATAGGGGTGTTCAGTTTAACATAAAGTCACTTCAAAATAACTTTAAAATATTATTTGGTTTCAAAAATTTATTTTCCTATTCTACTTTTTACATATTTGTATCGCATTTCACTAGATAGATCTAAAAATTCATTCCAGAAAACAAACACTGGATTGTATCCCATTTTCTCCAATTGTCTCTTCTTCATGAGCATATTTCCAAGAGGCATGTAAGCATTACCACATTTCATAGTATTATTCCAGGTCAACACAACAATGGCGAACCATTTCAAATGACCATTGTTGAAAGGAAACATTACATCACCAAAAACATAATTTTCAAAACCAATGGGTTTCACAAATTGTCCAGTTCTATCTCTGCAGAGTATTATATCTGAAAAAAACGAAGTGAATTTTAACAGAAATGTTGCAACATGATAGGATAAAAACTAATTCATATGTCCTAATTAAGTTTATAGTTTTTCAAAAACGAAAGTTACATCTTGAATTGCTATACCCAAATAACAACGATACCTCTTAATATACATAACATTTCTGCATTTATTGATTTTCGTCACATATCTACAACTTGTATTGGGTATATGTGTGAACTTATTTACAATATCCAATAAAATATGAATACATATAGACGATTTGAAAATGTTTTCGTTGATTTTTTCTGTTTCAATCAATTTCCAAAATATATGAGATTTTCAATTCAACCATTGTGAAAATCAATTAATAACGCTAACAAGATCGGAATCGCACATTAAAAAGTAAGCCCTCGTTAATCCTTAACTCACACATGTTTCAACTTTTAAGAGTTGTTGTTCGTAGGGGGGCGACAGTTGGTTAACAACAATCATATTTTTTGAACAGACCATGCTACTACTATTCAACTCTGTCATATTATAAAAGGTTAGGTTAGGTTAGGTTTTTTGAAAAAGGCGAATTTATTGATCAAGGTATTGTCCGATTTTCTGAGGGCAGATTATAAATACGAATTTATTTTTGAAAAAAATATTATGTAAAACATAATGTTCCTACAGTTCTGGGTTCCTAAAATACAAATATGCACTAGGAAATACTACTAATTTCCATTTCAGCCCCTAAGACAGTTATTTGAAAATAATGAAAAAATGAAAACTGACTCAGCCTTATGTATGAATAGTTTAAATTATAAAAAACCAGTAGCTACTTATTATGGCTCATTAATGTTCAAGTTTTTCAATATACCTGTTTACCAAAAAATTTATCTGATGTCTGAAGAATTGAATATAACAGAAATATTTCAAAATGAAAATAATACTCCTCTCGAAATTCTCAATATATATATATATGTTTAGAAAAGTTCCAAGAACAGTATTTGTTTGAATAAAATGGGTGAATATCAGACTTAAGAAATGGAAAAGCAATGCTACTTATAGAAAGAAGTATCTTTTACATTTTCTAAATAAATATGAATAATATACAAATAAAATTATCATTTCCCAAAGAAAAACCATAAATGTAAACATTTACGTTAGTATATAGTGCTTATTGTCTGTAAAAACTACAATTCCAATTCAAATGTAGATGAAATATTGATCAAAATGTAAAAACCTTGTTAATAGAGCATATTTAAAGAAGAGTTGGAGAGTATTGTAGAAATACACGACTCCCATTAACAAAGTGATTCTTTATTCAGGTCTTGAACTATATCGTCATGAGTAGGTATTCTTTTGATCTTTTGTTTGAATTTGTAGGTATCTGGTCCCATTCCAGCAGTTATGGTTTTATTTTTTATATAGCAATAAGACTATTATACTACAACTTTTTGCCATATATTGTATGTAATAAACTAATTTCATTACCTATCAGAAATAATGCATAAAAACTTCTCAATATTTTTACAGAAATTAGTAGAGCGTTTATTAATGAGGAAAATCAATATTAGAAAGTTGTATAGAATAATCAAAGAGGGCCTTACACTTTCATACTGTAATAATGATATAGGATTCTCAATATTATTCAGGTTATCAAGATCTCTGAATTGGGGCAAGGCTTCATCTCCTGAAGACGCTAACTCAGTGAAAAACGTGTCAAAAGGAATATTGCCAAGATACTTGGCTGATATGTGATATAGCCTGTGAGTTTACTAAAGGATATTAAAATGAAAAGTAATGATAAGAGGAGGTGACTGAACAGATTTTCAGCTTTTCATGAAATGATTACCTACATGTTTTCATTTATTATTTGTTGAATGTTGGTGTTGGAAATTATGATTCTGGTTTGATATCCTATTTTAAGGAGATATATTAGATTTGAATTTTATTACATCACACATTGAACGAAACAAACTGTACTGACCTGCTTTAGCAAAATGTGGAAGAATATGCTGTATGAACATAAAACTGTCATCTCCAACAACCTGTTTAACAGTGTCTGCTGTATCTAAAAATAATTTATCGGCTGCTGTTTTTTTCTTCCACTGATCATGTGCTGGAGCAAAATCTGTCAGCCACTTGGCACCTTTATATTTCAAGTTTAGTGGTAATCTGTTACCTTTATATCCGGGACACTCTATTTCTATTGAACAATCTAAAGAAAATAGTTCTCTTCCCAACATTTTTGCACCTTTTCCATAGCTCTCTTCAATAAATTCTGAATCTAAGATTCTGTCCATTAGTTCATATGAGTAAATATTTCTCAAGCTAAAATAATTCAGAGCACAAGGTAAGCATCTAGGATATTTGATTCTTTCTTCTATCCGGTTTTGTTTATGTAATTCTATGAATGCTGATTCATAAATATCAGGATTGGTTTTAGGATCACAATTGAACATTGTGAGTGCATTTAAAATGCGTTCAATGTCCTTCAAACGAATTTTTTCTTTATCAGTAATATTTGATGCTATTTTCTGAGATGCTTTTTGAAGAGAGGTTTCGTGATAGGTTTGAACACCAGTACCCATGAGTGCTATGTGGAGACAGCACAATTCTGAAAGACGGTGTATTTCATGTTGAAGAACATCTAACATATGACTGACTTCATTGGACAATTTTATAGGTTTTGATAGACGCAATACCTGAAACAAGTTTAATTTGTGATAAAATAAGGCAATTCACTATTGAAAAAATAATGTCAGTAAACAGTCAATGATAAAGGATGATGATGATGAAAAAGTATTTTCAAAAAGTATAATTGAACAGCCCCTTAAAATATAAAAAACTGTGAAATACAAGTTTCATTAAAAATAATGCAACTTTTACTCCTATCATTCATTGAATGTATTTTTTTTTATTTATTATGGAATAATAATGTGTTAGGAATCACACGTGAAAAGATAAGACCTCGTTAGTCCTTAGCTCGCACAAGTTTCGACTTCTGAGAGTTGTCGTTCATAGGGGTACGATAGCTGGTTAACGGAAAACACATTTTACACAACTTATTTGAATTCCCTGCATATATTCTCTTTATTCATTTCATTTTACCATTATGAAAATAAAATCGAATGAAAAATTATTTTACTATATGAATAAAGTTACCTTTAAAATTGCAGTTAACGAAATTTCATGAATAGATTTACTGTTGATAATTACTTCTTGTATCATTGCTTCCATAATAGGTAACAACTTTATTTTAGTTTTTGTTTTGAAGTAACCCATAGCCACAATAGCCATTTCATCTGCACTCATGTATTTGACGAATTTTTCTAGAGCGAATTCATATTCAAAATCTACTGCTCGTTTGCGGCAAAGGTTAAAGTAAAAGAACATGTTCACAAGCTGTCCTTTACTCAATCTGTCAGCTTTTTTGACAAATCTATCAATGAGTACAAAAATAAAATCGCAAATTCTACCTACAACCATTCAAAAATAAATAAGGGTAAAATTCAATCAAGGTGGAATCATGCACCAGTTGTGAGTTTCAAGTGGTGAAATAAGTCTTAAAGATTATTGGTTTTAAATGCAAGAGTCATCAGTTTTTAGTCGTAACAAATAGAAAACATGAACTCTTACAACCTAATGACTTAAGATTGACACATGAATCCACCTTCAGACTGTCTCACCTAAATTCAGTTTGTACCAAGCATTAGCTACAATAAAACATGTATCTACACTCCAGTCAGTCATTTTCCAACAACAAATGTCATCCAAACAGCTCCATATATCATGAAAATTGTGAGAATGGTAAGTTTCACAAGAAGGAAAGTCAGAAATAGAATACAGGAGATTAATAAGTTCATCATCACTGAGTTTTTCACAGTTATCCATCAGACCATCAACCAAATTATCAAATCGACTGTCTGATAGTGTTATATTGTTGGAAAAACAAAATTTCTGAGTACTCATGAAAGCTTTCACGATGTTTGAAGAAGATGATTCTTTCCAGTTCTGATTAAGTATAGTATTGAATTCATCAAGAGTAGTGACCTCATGATCAATATTGACTGGTGGATGTTGTTCGTAATCTTTAGTGATAATATCATAGGCATAAATATTTTCATTATTGATAAATATTTTTTTTTTGCAAGGAGCACTTGAATGTAAATTCATTTTTGCGATTTTGAGGTTATAATTTGGAAAATACGATTTATTGATAAGTGAAAATCCTCTGGAGGAAATTTTTCTAAAATGTAAATGAACTCTGCTGAATTTAAATCTAAACAATAGACACATCGGCCGACTCATAGTGATTTATGTTGTGATATGAAGAATTTTAATAAAATTTCGACACTACTCATTGAACATTTTCAATGTTTTGATTATTTGAAATTGACATTTGACATTTGTTTTAAACAAAGATAGATAGAGATGCCCGGACCCCTTCCCTGTGTTAAATGAGGCGTTTTCTGGCGCTCATGTATTCAAAACGTATTCGTCTGTGATTCAAATACATTCATTCTGGCGTTGAAATGATGATGTCACATCAACTATGATTTGAAACGTATTCCTCATGATTCAAAACTAGAGGTGTTTTCTGGCGTTTAATCGTATTCGAGCGTGTATTCAAAAATGATTCGTAGTGACGTCATTAATAATAAGATTCTCCACAATAGAATGATTCAAATTCAATAATATGTTGTTATTGTTTAAAATATTTTTTTCGTTAACCAGCTATCACACCCCTATGAACGACAACCCACAGAAGTGGAAACTTGTGCGAGCTGAGGACTAACGAAGTTTTACCTTTTAACGTGTGATTCCTAACACGGGTTGGACGATAGCAGGTGAAAATCGAGCGTTCAGCCTGGGACTTGAACCATCGACTCAGATATCGGCTGATTGACTGAGTGAACAAAGCACACACGTCGAACCACCCGGCTACCGACCAATACAAACAAACTTTCCAATTTTCCCTAATCTCAATTAGAATCGGATTTGTGCATACAATAATTTACCAGCTTTATTTATTTATTTGATAAAAAGTTTTCAGCACTTTATAAACTATAACGATTAAAATAAAGCAGAAATTGACAACTGACTTAGCGTAACGTCAAATTTCGTTACAAAACCAACTTCACGCTAGTTTTGAATCATCGTGAAGACGTTCAAATCATAATTGATGTGACGTCATTGTTTCAACGCAAGAATGAATGTATTTGAAACAGACGAATACGTTTAAATACATGAGCGCAAAAAAACGCCTATAGTTTTGTGTTCCCTGTCATTTTAACGGGGTGGCGGGAATGGAAGAATCTAACCCTCTGCAGGTAAGCAACGTTATTTATTTCACTTCGATGAAACAATGTCGGAAAGAACTACCAAGTTTCCAGTAGTAAAATAGCTGAATATCTCAATTAGCATTTTCTGCGTGTTTCCTTTAAATCACTGCAAACTCTTGAAAGTAAAAATTTATTCCAAAATCTGTCAATACCCCAACTTGAGAAACAGAAAAAACCGTAGGAACAATGTTTATTTGACAAAATTGACGTGAAATGTATACCAAAAGGGAATGTGTCAGCAGTTAGTGAAAATGAAACTTTTTGTTATACTTAATTTGAAAATAAATTGCATTCCACACCTGATAATATCAAAGAAAACTTTTCTACTTCTCAACCATTCAACACAAATGTTTCATTTTGAAATTCGACAAAATCAAATAACGAATTTTATTCTGTTTCTCCAATTTTGACTTTATTAAGGAAAATAAACAGGAAATCAGTTGTGATTTCTGTGAAGTATCTCCCCTAATAAAAATATTTGCGAAAAGGTGATAATGTGAAAGATAATATTTTTTTGTTATTGGGTATCATCGGCATCAACTGCATTGGTTATTAACTTCATGTCCTGAATAGGCAATGTAAATAACTCCCCGAGCCACCTAGGGAGCATCATGGCTATTCGCAGTCCGTCAGCCATGTAACGTTGCAGAATCATCCCAGCTTCAACTAGATAAAATCTCTCGAGAAAAATATCTGGTCGAGGTTGGGATCGATCTCCCAACCTTCCGATCGTTAGTCGGGCGCGCTTCCACTGCGCCAATTCACAGCTGAAAATATTAATTATTAAACTTCCAAATACAAAACTGTACTTTTACTGGGTGTTTTAACCCAGTCGGAATTTTCTGAGTGGGGAAAAAGGTTATTTCAGGAGAAATATCCTTTAGTCATCAAAAAAAAAAAAATTTGTAGTAAATAACACTTGTAAATTATTGTAATGAATCTGAAGCCGGCCCTGACCGGTGTCCCAGTCAGCCAACGCATGACGCATACCGCGAAAACTCCGAATGGTTCCCGAAATCCGCAGAGGGATCCGGAACGTTCGTTGACGATATAAAAACGTCGCTATTCGTCCCGAAGAGTAGTCTGTACCAAGAAAGCGAATCGAGCGGTTAACAAACGGTGAAGATAAATTAATGGTGTAAATAAATTAGTTGTGATAGTGAAGTATTGTTAAAATAAATTTGTTTAAGACAGTTAATTCTTTAATTCGTTACAATTGGTGATCAGAAGTGGATTTTTAAAATAAATTTGTGAGCGCTTGGTGGACAATTTTTGTATCACAGTGAAATTGACTGTAAAACTTTTGCACTTTCGCGCAGATAGACTGGTGATTCATTGTGTTTCGCGAAGCGGACAGTACCGGAAGACGGAAATATAAACTGAAATATAAACTGTGAAAATTAATAAGTGTTTCGGACTCCATTAAATCAGTGGACATATTCAGTTTTGAGTAAAATAGACAGTAAGAGATAAAATGTGTTCAAGAAAAGTGCGCCTAGTGGACTTGGAAGTCGCCGAATTGAAGCAAGAATTGGAGGAGAGAGAACTAGATTCCTCCGGAAAAAAATCAGTACACCAGAAGAGACTATGGGACAACTTGATTGAATCAGGAGAAGATCCCGAAATATATTTATTCGAAGTTTCTGGGGGTGATTGGAGTTCAATAATGAGCAAACTCGATGGACTTCAACAAAATTCGGTGAGTCTGGAGGAGAAATTTCTGGAAAATTCGAAGTGCTTGAAGGAAGAACTTCTAGAAAATGCAGAAGGCTTGAAGAAAGAGCTTTGTAGTGTGGCAAGCCTACTCGAAGAGAGGATAGGAACCATCGAGACAGAGATAGACAAAATCAGGGAGGAAATCAAAGGGGAGATCAAAGATGAAATCGGAGCAGAAATGAAGAAAATGGGAAAACAGTTAGGCAATGAAATCAAAGGCGAATTCGAGGCAGAAATCAGCAATATGAAAAAAACAATTAGCAAGTTGCAAAACCAAATTGTTAATTCTGCCCACCCCACAGAAACGGTTACTGAAAACTCAATTCTGGAACTGAAAGATGTCAAACTCAGTTTTGAACCAGGAAAGCTCTCCATGAAGCCGCCCCAGTTCGACGGAAAAACTCCTTGGGCAAATTACCGCCGACAATTTGAAGCTGCGACCAGAGCGAATGGATGGAATGCAGGAGAAAAGGCGGTAGCATTAACATTGGCGTTGCGTGGAGAAGCAACGAATATCCTGCAAACCCTCACGGCCCAGGAACAGGAAGACTACGACCAACTTGTAAAGCATCTTGAACTGCGGTATGGACAGGCCCACCTAGAGCACGTTTACCATTCACAGCTCAAGAACCGCTGCCAGAAATCAGGAGAATCCCTACAGGAGTTTGAAGCCGACATAGCTCGATTGGTCCGTCTGGCATATCCTGCTACACCCAAAAATGTAATGGAGCGGTTAGCAGTTCAAGCATTCTTGGATGGACTTCGCGACCAAGAAACGAGACAGGTCTTGACGCGAGCTCATCCCAAATATCTTGTGGATGCACTGGCAAGCGCTCTGGAGTTTGAAGCTGCAAAACAATCCTGCAAGAGTCAGAGCAAAGTTCGAGCTATCGGGGAAGATGGACAAGTGCCTGCAGATATTGAGGCCACTATCAGAAAAGTAATGAAAGAAGTTTTGCCTGAGAGGAAAAATATAAGATGCTGGAACTGTGGGAAAATTGGACATGTGCGTAGCAAATGTCCAGCTTTCAAAGAATCGACACCAAATCAGGAAAACTAGAGGGGGTCGATNCTCCTGAAACAGCTACTTTCATATAAACATTGAATTACACGAAAGAAAAAAATTCTTTCAAAACAAATACTTCTATATGAACACTGAATTATACAGAAGATACTTTTCTCTACTCAGTTTGTATTTCAAACATTCGTTGTGGAATGAAAAATCAGATATCATTCACATGAGTTCTACTTGAAATGAATGGTAACAAATTGCACTTACATGGAACACTGTCACCCTCACTGGTATACATCGATGTTTCGCCTTAAGACACTTGTCTTAAGGCTCTTCAGTACCAAATTGGATAACATTATAGAAAATACACACAATTCATTCATGAATTACGATTTTTTACAAATTGATTACTTCCTTCCTTCCTTTGGAAGATTCCCTCTTCTTTTTTTTTGTATCAAGATGGAGTAGTAGAAAGTCAAAAACTTTCTTTCCCAAAAAATAGGGTAGAGATATTCAGTTCTAGTAAAGACTTCAACCATTTAAAATTATATCAACTCAATCAAGATGAATCAACCGAAGAAAATTAATAAAATGAGAGATGTTGGATGTTAATGCTTTGGAACTGCGTCAAAATGATGTATTAAGTTGGAATGCAAAAAACGGTAGGCATGATGATTTATGCAGATTTATGCATTTATTGTAAAAGAGGACAGAATTCCAGGCTGATTGGGTGCAATGTGACAAATTTGATGGTTGGGTTCATATGGTATGTATCGAAGACCTTCAGACACATTTGAATGATGATGTTTTTGGTGAATTTTAAACCAAAGTTCACGTAAATACGCCTTCAAAATTGGATATGGTGTATAAAAACGTATGCTCTTAATATTTTGATAAATATTATAGAAAATGTTTTCAAGAATTGATCAAAATTGAAAAAATACCAGGGATCAGAGACTTGCCAAATAGTGGTTTTTAAGGAAAGAGGCATTCGAATTACTTCATCTAATTTTGGAGATATTTGTCTAAGTAAAAGTGATGATAGCTTGATCAATATCTTGAAGCGCATTTCTAATCCAATAAATATTGAATCTAATATACCAATCAGACATAGCAGACATTAAATTGTGAAGAAAATTATTAATGAATATGAAGCATTCACTACCAACAAGTGTAATTTTGTTGGTTTAATAATTCATAAATAGGTACAGTTCATTACTGGGTGTCCAGTAACCCTAGTTGGGTTAATAGGTAATGATGGCTTGGTTGAGGTTAAATGTCGAAGCCAATTTTGAGCCTTGTGAAACTCCTAATGAGACAGAAGCTGG